TGCAGTAGACCAGTTGCCATCCCAGGCTATAGAATCCGGTCTGTCCTGCTATTTACCCATAGATGGGGGGAAGGATTCATACCTTTCCCAATGTAATAGCACGTAAGTGAATGTAATGGATCAGACCGGTTTTCGAACTCTCCGATTCCTCAATCCGAGCCGCTATCCATTACTCCACCCCGCCTCATAGATGTCAGTTTACCTGGAGATAAACAATGCAGTTATTAATAAGAAGAGTTGAAATGAATGCATGCAAGATTTCACAGATCTAGCATCATTCCTTCATAGTCAGTCTATGAATTTTTCAATCCACCCTAGTATTTGGAAATAAAAAATGAGATTATTAATAAGAACACTTGAAAGATTGCACAATTGTGGCATCACACCTTCATCGGTTTATGAACTTTTCAGTCCCCGTTATCACCTGGAAAGAAAGAAAGCATGTATTAATAAGAAGAGTTGAAATTAATGCAAGCAAGATTTCATATCTCTAGTATCACTTCTTCATAGTCAGCCTATGAACTTTTCAGTCCACCCTCCTACCTGAAAAGAAAAAATGCAGTTATTAATAAGAATTTTGAAATTTTCCTTCATCGTCAGTCTATGAAACTTTCAGTCAACCATAGTAACTGAAAAGAAACAATGCCGTTATTAATGAGTTGAAATTACTGCATGCAAGGTTTCACAGCTCTAGCAACATACCTTCACACTCAACATATGAACTTTTACGCTCGTAGCTAGCTAGCTAGCTAGATAGATAGATAGATAGATAGATAATAGATAGATAATGGCTAGGGAAAAGTAGATAGATAGATAGATAGATAGATAGATAGATAGATAGATAGATAGATAGATAATGGCTTGGGTAAAGTAGATAGATAGATAGATAGATAGATAGATAGATAGATAGATAGATAGATAATGGCTTGGGTAAAGTAGATAGATAGATAGATAGATAGATAGATAGATAGATAGATAGATAGATAGATAATGGCTTGGGTAAAGTAGATAGATAGATAGATAGATAGATAGATAGATAGATAGATAGATAGATAGATAGATTTCTAGGGTAAAATAGAAGACAGATATATAGATACATACATACATAATGGCTTGGGTAAAGTATATAGATAGATAGATACATACATACATACATAATTGCTAGAGTAAAGTAGAAGATAGATACATACACACATACATAATGGCTTGGGTAAAGTAGATAGATAGATAGATAGATAGATAGATAGATAGATAGATAGATAGATAATTGCTAGGGTAAAGTAGAAGATAGATACATACATAAACACATAATGGCTTGGGTAAAGTAGATACATACATACATACCTGCATACATAATGGCTAGGGTAAAGTAGATAGATAGTAAATTACCTATTTAGTTATATTTTTTATTTTTTAAAATTCTTGGCTGGACCATATTTCCTTGAGGAAATGAATAACGGACTGATCTTTTCTATAAGAAACAAACTGCATCGCAATCTCATCTCTGCATATTCAAATCCATTTTAGATTCATTTTTCTTTTTCAATAACGATGTATTACTTTTCTCTAGTCATATTCATTCCAGGAGATTTCCGGTTTACTGAACTCGTTGTTATTTCTAATTCTGTTGCTACAACGTCTCGGCCGATCCATCCTCCGGACTTCTTCCTGTGTACACACAGAATGAAAAGAGGCAGAGTTTTGTTTTTTTGGGTTTTTTTTTTATCATACAGTGCATCCTAGGAACGATTTCTAAAATGAATCTGCTGTATATTGCATTCTTTACATTTGCTTTGAGCGATTACCTTTTCTGTATTTTCTGTGTTCATGGCTTCCATTTTGAATAAAACTTCATCCTCGCTCGTATGTTTATATTATTATTATTATTATTATTATTATTATTATTGTTGTTGTTGTTGTTGTTGTTGTTGTTCCTTTCTTTCTTGTTCCTTCCTTTTCTCATACCTGCCAAGCTTTATTTCGTTACTGTTTACGACTGTAGTTTTTCTAGTCAATTTATCTCTTTCTCTTGTATCTTCTTTTTGTTCTTTCCTATTTCTCTCCATCGCTTGTTCTCTTTACCGTTCTCTATTTTAATGCTTTTTCTCCATATACAAGTTTTCTTTTTTAACATTAAATTCACTGAGTCCTATCATAAATAATATTATCGTAAAATTTAGTAGTGACTTTCATCTGCATGATTCTGATTCCTCAGCAGACATATTATTCCACCAAGCTATTTGCAAGGATCTTCGGGGCCGTTGCATACACACTCCTTCTTCTTCTTCTTCTTCTTCTTCTTCTTCTTCTTCATTATTATTATTATTAATATTTTTATTAATAATAATATGATCTTTATTATTATATTTAAAAAGCCTTTTTGACATTCATATATTATATTATCACATACCAGGTCATAACCAAGTATGGTCTGTGCTTGTTAGAACTATATTTTATTATTATTATTATTATTATTGAAATTGGCAGAGTCATGGCTTTAAACATTGGAAATGATTTTAAGTGACTCAAAATTACCTTCAGTATTTGAATCCATTGCTCTGTCAATTTCAGTAATAATAATAATAATAATAATAATAATAATAAATAGCAATCTCGAAATGTGGCATATGGGAACATCAACAATCCCTGTTGTAGTTGGAGCCCTAGGACTGGTTGGAAAAGATTGCAGTAGACTAAATGAAGGGATTCCTGGAAGTCCATGCCTCAAAGAGATACAAAAAATTGTTCTGACAAGTACAGCCCACACTTTACGAACGGGTTTATCTATGTAATTTTTTCTTTTTTTTTTTTTTTTTTTGTCAGTGGAAAGTGTCATGATGCCATTTCTAACCTTAGATCCCTGGGCGGGAACCGGAAAGAAATGTGTAAACGCCAGAAATCAAAGAAAATAAAAATAATAATAATAATAATAATAATAATAATAATAATAATTCGAAGTATTGTCTTTCTGCCAAAGAATCAGAGCCATGCAGACGAGTGCATTACAAAAATCTGCTAAAATATTAACACTTTGTCACGTCTCAAGACCTCAGACAGCAAGCACTTTCCACGCGATTTTTTTATGTCTAAGATGTTAGTTTTGCAATATTTTAATGCTGGGCACAATTCGTACGGTATAAAATGAAAACTGGAGATTCTTAGCTTTTGACCCAAAGACAATTGGCGCAACCTTGGCATGGAAAGTTCACATCTTCTAAAGCTCCAATCTCAACTATAAATAGTTCTCCATATTTTCAAGTTCTTTCCTTACAATGTACGTATTAATCACCAGAGACCGTCACGTGCGATGAATTTTTCTGATCAATGTTACGTTTGGTCTGGTTTGTCCAATATTCTCAGTTTGAACGTAATTATTGTTGTTGTTGCTGCTGCAACTTCTGTTTGTTGCATATTTTGTTGCCATTTCGTGAAGTTTCAGTGCTATCAATTCTTCTCAAATCTGAACCAGCTATCTACGTATGTTTGCAAATCTCAGCAGTTCTACGATCTGGAGAATCAACCTACCCTCGGATCTCAAAATTATCCAATTTTGGTTCTATTCTTGCTCACGTTTCAAAGCGTGTCTATTTTATCAACACTTTCATATTCACTGAAATGCAACAATGATGCAAGAGATCACTGAAGATGAGAGAATAAGTGAAAAACAAAACATTATTAAGGAGAGAGGACAATAAAAGAACAGGAATTCAAAGTACAGAAAATGATTGATGTTGCGGGTATATTTTTGAGCATCAAAGTTGATTGGAAAGTAAGAAGCCGAAGGAATGTTTCACAGACGAAAATTTCGAGGGAAGGAACTGTTAACATAAAACTTATGGTTCAATCTAGCTATTGCACCTTACCGTCAGTCTAGTAGCATGCTTAAATTCATAAAGTCCAGATGGCAAAGAAGAAAGCTCAGCAGAACAATTACCAGGAAAATATTTATAGAAAAGAGGAACTAGGTTACAGCTGGAGAAGTGACTGAAGACGAGATGCCAGGTCAGGACTAATAACATTTAAGATTCTTCTTTGTATTATTATCTCTAAACCCTGGGAAAGGTGTGATACTTTTCTCTCCCCCACTCCAACTATGGGTAAATAGCAGAACAGACCGGGTCAACTGGTCTTACCGGAGAAAGGAATGGCAACCTACTGCGGGAAAAAATTCTGCCTCGTCAGTCATGTATCGAAAGATACATGATCGCCTAAGCGTGTATCACGCAAGGCAAATAATTGAAATATATAGCAGAAGTACCATAACAGATTTCCAGTTCGTCAAATATTTTCTTTCGACTTTAAGTGATCCTTCCTTCATTTTCGACAGATTCGGATCTTATTTTGTATGTCGATTGCACAGTTCTCAGTAGTTCACCTATTCTACCCAGTCACGCCTAATTTATAATCTTCATCTATCATATACTTGAGCGCTTCATTTCTATCTCTTTAAGACATCTCCTCTTCTCAATTTTAGCTACATTCTTAATACATTTGCTTCTGTTAGTGACTACGCCCTTTTTTAAATGAGATGAGTTTCTGCCATTAGATTTCTCTCGTGTGAAGTATGTCAATTTCAGATGCAATTCCTTCAGTGTCTTCTGAAATATCTCATATTTCTTGATTATCATTTACAGACTTCCCCGTTTGTGTAATTTTGGTAAATATATCTGTTAAAATGAGATATCGGTGTTATTTTTTGTGTAACTTAGACGACACTTTATCCATCGCACTCCATGTGTAAGCGTGTAAACACCAACTATTGATCTACCTTTTGTTCTGTCACATGTCGTCATCTCTTGAAAGCACCCTTTTCACATCCTGCCGGCAGATTTCTGGTTCTCTGTCACAGATTTCCGTGTTCTAAGTTTAACAAGGACTTCTATATCGCACAAAGCATTCAAACTTTATTACTCTATTTTATTTGTATTTCTTCCTTTGATTTCACCTTTGTTTAAATTCATTCTTCCAATCATTCTTCTTGGTTTCCATCTTTGTCCGACATGTTTTTTTACCTTTTGAATCTTCTTTCTTTAGATATTATAATTTTTATTTTTATTTTACTTAATTGTATATCTATCACCGTCCTCTTCTTTTACATCCACATACGGTTCTTCTTCTTTTTATTTTCCTTCTTCTTCCTCTTTCCTTTTCCTTCTTCTTCTTCTTCCTATTCTTCTTATTTTGATTTTTCTTCTTGCTTTTCCTCTTCCTTCTTCTTCTGTAGAATTTCCAAATGTTTTGCCGTCCATGTTTTATTTTTTGTAAAATTTCTTTTTATACCCTTTTCCTATTTTCCCTTCTTCTTCTTCTTCTTCTTCTTCTTCTTCTTCTTCTTCTTCTTCTTCTTCTTCTTCTTTCTTTTCTTTTTTTCCTTTTTTCTTTCTTTCTTTCTTTTTTCATGTTTCTTTTTTTTCTTTCTATCAATGAATGTTTTATTTCCTTTTCACGCTTTATTTCCTTGTTTTTCTTCTTTTTCGTTTTATTCTTCAGTTTAATTTTTTTAATTTCACAGTTCGTGTACTTATTTTATTTGTGTAACTTCTATTTTTTCTGTTTCAATTCTTCTTCTTCTTCTTCTTTCTTTCTTTCTTTCTTTATTTATTTATTTCTTCTTTTTTCTTTCTTTCTTTTTGGCCCAGTGTGTACTTGTACTGCTGCCGGTGAATACCCGGGAGTGATACAGTGATACATTGAGAAAGTGAGAGAGTGAGAGTGCGAGGTAATCGCTTTGTAGGAGTCACAGTTGCGAGCACGTAGACTCAGAAGGAAGTCATACTTTTGATACTGATTTTCCCAGATTATATATATATATATATATATATATATATATATATATATATATATATATATATATATTATACTATTGCTAAACCGCATTTCTGGATCTACTAAACTGTATTACCAATTGTAGTATTACGTCAATACATTTATTTGCTATATTTCATTCCTGCGTTTGTCATTCATTTTAGACCGGATTTCATCCCGGAATCCACAACATCTTCATAATTCTTTTTTACGTATTCATTTATTCTTTTTTTGTCTCTTTTTCTTCATTTTTCTTGTTCTTCTTCTTCTTCTTCTTCTTTTCATTCTTCACCTTAATTCTATTTTTTTTCACTTTCGCTGTTCGTTTTCTTATTTTCTGTTTTTTGCGAAACTTCATTTTTCTTCTGTTTCAAATCATCATTCCTCCTTTTCTTCTTTTTTTCTTCTTTCATTTTCATTTTTTTAGGGTTATTTTTTCTTTTCATAATTCCCTCTTACGTGTTCATTTCTTCTTATTTTCGTTTCTTTCTCTTCTTCTTCTTCTTCTTCTTCTTTTCGTCTTTCACATTAACTTTATTTTTTATTTTCACTTTCAATGTTCGTTTTCTTATATTCTTTTTCTTCGTTTTTCTTCTGTTTCAAATCTTCACCCATTCTTCTTCAAATTAATCTTCCTTCCTTTTAGCTTCAATTTAAAACTTTTTGCAACTTCCGTATTATCAAGTTCTATATTTTATTTTACATTTTCGCATGTCTGTGTGCGTGTGGGAGGATTAGTGTTGCTGTTGTTTCCATTTATTCTCTCCTTTTTCTTCTTCACCATCATGTTTTTCTTCTTTACTCTTCCTCTTATCTCACTTTCTATGACTTTTGATAATTTTCAGGCATTTCTTCTTCCCCTCGATTCTTCTTCTTCTTCTTCTTCTTCTTCTTCTTCTTTTTCTTCTTCTTCTTCTTCTTCCTCCTCCTCCTCCTTACTTCATCACTTCATCTTGTTGTTTTCTGAACCCCTTTTTCTCCCCGTGTATTTTTGACCTCCTTTTTTTCTTCATCTTTCTTCTTCATCGTCTTCTTCTTCTTCTTCTTCGTTTTCGGCTGCTTTACTTTATCGCTTCCTCTTTTTATCTCACTTTCATCTACTTTTTCTTGATTTCATGTCCTCCTTCTTTTTCATTTTCGTCCTGTTCTCTTATTTTTGCCTTCTTAATTTTTTCTTTCACATTCTTCTTCTTCTTCTTCTTCTTCTTCTTCTTCTTCTTCTTCTTCTTCTTTAACAAGCATGCACCATCAGAAATCTCGCCACGGTGTCCTTCATTCAACTCACGTCGTTTCTAAAACATTCTCCATAAGATTTATTAGGTTTCGATAGCGAGACTATCACGAAACTTCTAAGCTTGTCACATATTGAAAGTGTCTCCTTAACTCTAAAATCCATAACACTCATCGCTCCTTAAGACCACTTGTGATGCATACGATTCTTCAAACAATTAATCCCCAAATCCTCTTCTTCTTCACGTGCATCGTTACGTAATCTCGTGTCTGACGAAATGTTTGCCTGCAAATGTGATTTTAAATTCATAACGCAAAAATTGAGCAAGTCAAGGGAGGAATTAAACAAATGAAATACAATTAACTAACAATGGCTACTAATTTTATTATTCAACTATGACAGCGACAGAGAATATTTGTATTAATTTTTATTTATTTTGGGAAGATTCTATATCTAAAATAAGAGACGATAAATGGTTCATATGTCATTAATACTTTAAAAGGTACTATTATCATCTACTATCAGAACAGAACTTTCTTTTTGTATTAAGACTTTAAGTAATTTTAATGAATTTATTTCTCTTTTATGCTATCTATCTATGGTGCGATGGATGAAAGTGTTGTCTAAGTTATACAAAAATGAAAATAACACTGACATCTCATATTAACAGATATATTTACCAAAATTACACAAAATTATCTTGAAATACTAACAAGTAAATATATCCAATCAAATCGCAATTGGCTTCATCCACGACCTCCAGACGATTGCGGGATCTCTTGCAACTCTTTTTGACGGTCTCTTTGTTTAAGTTTGTCAATGTTCCTAAAATCCTTGCCCTCAGTTTATCTTTTGTTTTACAAGGAGTTTTGTTGGTCTACCGCTCAACTGCACCTCGCATACAATAATGAAGGGGTCGCGGTTTGGTGAGTTAGATGGCCAGGTGTAAGGGATGATATGATCACTGAAATTATCTGACAGTCATGACTGTGTTCTTATTATTGTCCGGCATGGTGCAGAGTCATGTTGCCAGATTTACGGTCTTTCAGTAGCAGACCTCTTGGCCCACTGCAGTACTACCTCCCCAAGGCACTTGATTTAGGCATCCTTGTTGAGTGTGAGGCCCTGTGGGGAGATGAATGAAGGTATAACGTCGCCTTCTCTAGTGATCACTCGAGACACTCTCGTAATCCCATTAGGCTCATCCTAATTTCCGAATACTTTGCATTGTTCTTAGATTGACATCTAAAAACCCTGAAATTTTCGTATTGGTGCTTGCGGTGCGAATGCCAAGCAGTACAGCATGCCGTTTCCAAATTTCTGGCGGAGTGGCTTTTGTCATGGTGCTCTTTTTCTTACTGACGGTGCCCAACTGACCCTACTGTACTGTGCAGTCGACAAAAAGAAATATCACGCATGCGAGGAATTTAAAAAAATATAATATGGCGACAATTTACCCATCGCACTATGTAGATATATCGATAATGAAAAGTTTTAAATAGATAGATAGAGAGATAGGAAGGATGCATTTCTATCAATCTATCTATCCGTATACACACAAAACATACACACACACACACACACACACACACACACACATATATATATATATATATATATATATATATATATATATATATATAGGACAGCGAAAGTGTTTCGTGAGATAAAAGACAACAAAAATAGCACTACTAGTAATAGGACTAGTAATATTTATCATATATTAGTGATTCTATTCAAGTGGAATCATGATGAGAAAGATTTAAGAAATTGGTATTTACGGATACACTTGTGTCATTTTTCAATGGGGGAAATGATGTTTGGGTTGCATTATACGCGAGTATATATATATATATATATATATATATATATATATATTTTATAAAAAATTTATAACATAAGTATGTTATAAATTTTTTTATAAAAATATATATATTAGATACTTTGTATTGAGCACTCTTTTAAGAATAGTAATTATTGGTTGTTGGAAAACATAAACACACCAATTATATGTTTGATATATATATATATATATATATATATTGAGATATATAGATAGATAATTATTATATAATGTAGATAGATAGATAGATAGATAATTATTATTATAATGTGATAGATAGATAGATAGATAGATAGATAGATAGATTGAAGGATGCATTTCTATCAATCTATCTATCCGTACACAAAACATAAACACACACACACACACATATGTATATATATATATATATATATATATATATATATATATATATATATATATATATATATTGAGAGAGACAGACAGACAGACAGAGACAGAGATAGATGATAGATAGATAGATAGATAGATAGATAGATGAATGATAGATAGATAGATATGTGTGTGTGAGTGTGTGTGGATATAATAGACCGATGAAAGAAATTCAAGTAACAAAAGCAACAAAATTAATTACATTGATAATAAAGCTAGTAATATATATTGTATATTAGTCGGCCTTTTGACCAAATCGAAGCAGGAGAAAGATGTTAAAAATCGGAATTTTCAGACACGCCTGTGTCCTTTCTCATTGAAGTGGGGGTGATGTTTGAGATTTGCTATTTTTTTTCACATATGTTATATTACTAATGAAATCTAGTAGTTTTGAACTCGTCGTTTGCCACCATGAGGATTGTAGAGATTTTGTAGATGTCTTATTTTGCAGAAGTAGAGTTTGATTTCTATTTAAAACTAGAATGTCAGAATTTATTTTAAGAATGTACTTTAACTCAGATTTTTTATTTTAATTCATGCCTGGTAGGAAAGGTATTGTATTCTTACCTTTCCCAAAGCTATTTGTGCAAAATTGAATATAACGAATCTGGCTGCAACTCGAACTAGAATTCGAACTAGAACTCGGCTCTCCGATTTCCAATTCCGGGTTGTTATCCATTACACCACTTACAGCACCTGATATTCCTAAGTGATCACCCATCTAAGTACTGACTAGGCCCAATGTTGCTTAACTTCAGTGATCATATGAGAACATGTTATGGCTGTATGCCTACTTTCATATATATGAGAAAGATCAAGTAAAAATAAAGAAACACTAACACTATTGTATTGGGCATAACGTTACCTTGATTTTTAAGTAAATTCTTTTCATATGTGAGCACACACACACACAGACACACACTATGAGAGCTAAAAGAAACATTAAATATCATAATACTGATAATAAACAAATAATATTTATTATATATTAGTAGGTCTCTTCAAGTGGAATAATGATGAGAAAGATTTTAAAAATCAGAATTTTAAGACACGCCTGTGTTCTTTCTATACGAAACGAGAAATAAAAAATGGAAACTGAAATGGGTGTTTCTTTAAATGGGAATTTGTTTTTTTCCGCAGGTGATAACGCAAAAGATTTGATATTTTGGGTTTTTTTTTTTTTTTTTTTTTTGCTTGTTATTTTGCCAATCTTGGTGTTGTCCATGTCTGTTCATATATATGCTCATTTCTTATCAATATATTTCACTCAGGCTGTTCCTATCTATCTATCTATCTCAGTGGGTTCATATATATATATATATATATATACCAAAATATCGCTATTTATGTAACGGTCTCATTTAAACTGAATTTAAGTTGTTCCCATTTGTGCATCTCTCAAAGATTTTGTTTTTCTTAGATGCTAGGTATGTTTATTTTTAATATATTCTTATCTATCTATCTATCTATCTATTTTATTCTGTTCAGATCAACCTATCGGTATTTATCTATCCACCCACGAGGATAGAATGTGGCACAAGGCCGGTTTAAAGTGGGTATCTCGGCCCAAAATATAGCCTTTTTGAACCCGCCTAGACGGGTTCAAGGCCTGTCTACCTCCCCGGACGAAACCTTGCCCTTCGGAAAAGCCTTGTCCGGGTTCCTCTCTGCTAAAGCAGAGACTTCGACAAACGAACGCAAGATCGACTCGAATCTTAATACTCGTTCAGATCTACCTATCTATTTCATTATATTCACATCTATCTATCTCATTCTGTTCATTTTTTCTATCTATTTATTTCATTATGTTCATATGTATCTATCTATATCATTTTGTTCATATCTATCTATCTATCTATCTATCTATCTATCTATCTATCTATCTGTTTCATTATGCTCATATATATATATATATATATATATATATATTATGCTCATATCTATTTATTTCATTATGTTCATATTTATCTATCTGTCTATATCTATCTATCTATCTATTTCATTATTTTCATATCTAGCTATCTATTTTATTCTGTTCATATATACCTATCTGTCTATTTCTTAATGTTCATATTTATCGATCTATCGCATTCTGTTCATATTCTTATATCTATCTATTTCATTTTGTTCATATTTATCTATTTATCTCATTCTGTTCATATGTTTCTACCTATCTATCTATCTATCTATCTATCTATCTATCTATCTATCTGCTTCATTATGTTCATATCTATATATCTATCTATGTTATTATGCTCATATCTATCTATTTCATTATTTTCATGTCTATCTATCTATCTATCGATCTATTTCATTATGTTCATATTTATCTATCTATCTATCTCATTCTCTTCATATTTTTCTATCTATTTCATTATGCTCATATCTATATATCTATCTATCTTTGTATCTCAAGTGTTTTTAATTAATTCTGACATTATATCATGCTACCAATAATTACAGATGAAAAGTATTAACGTTTTACCAGCATCGGTGACTCAGTAGATTCCAAACAACAACTGTTTTCATCACACTTTTATGAGATACACATCGGTTTTAAGTGCCTGGTTTATAATACGCACTTCATTTGAATTACATTTAGCTTCAGAAGCAGATTGGCGTAGATTCTGTACAGGTTTCCAACACACACACACACACACACACACACACAGACACACGTATGCTTGTCGTATATTTCTAAATAATTGTTTTTAAATCCGACATATATTTATTGCTGAAAACTTTATTTTTAATGGATGCCATTATTTAAGTAGACGCTCGCTTTATTTCAAACTGTATCTATTTCGTCTGCCGGCCTACCTACACACCCCGGAGAACCTTATACATTATATGATCCATTAATGACTTGGTTTACATTTTAAATACGAAACTGTGCAGATATTTATTTGTAGAAAAATCTGAACGAGGGAATATGATTTAAAGGCAAAATAGGAACTTTCGGGACTGTGAAGCTTTTCGTAGACGAAAGGTCAAAGAACATCGGATAAGAATGTGGTTACTCCTACCAAGGAGGACGTAGATTTGAATCCTACCGAAGAAAAAGAGGAGAAAACCATTTGAACATATGGATTATGTAGATGTATTATTCTTTCGTCAACTATTGTTAAGGAAATACACAAATATTAAGAGCCACGTTGTTTCTTAAACTATACTTTTATAATAAAATTCATTACAGTTCGAATATTTTATTTCAGCCATACTTTTTTAGATATCGTTTATGTATGGTATATTGAAATATAACAAAATATATCAATTTTCTAAAATTAAATTACATATAAAGATTGGAAATTTATGTCAATGATTACAACTTTTCAAGTACAGATTTCTGACTAAAGTACACTGGGCTTTTATTTTTGAACCCAGCTTGGAAATGTGTACTTTTGGCTTTATTCTGAAGAAATTAAATCTGAAGTATCAAGAATGCCACATTTTTTTTTCTAAACTTACGAATCTTGATATATTTATATCTCACCTCATTTTTTTTTTTTTTTTTTCTTTCTTTCCCACATTCTTTTGTTCGTCCTGGGTAAGACGTTAAACTACGTCCAACAGCAAGGCCTCTCCTCAGGAGGATTTGATGAGTGTAGAACTACCTCTTAATTGCTGGTGTTCCCAGGCCCACGCTGATCCAAGGTGGTAGCACCTGTTAGGGTCCCAGCTATGTGTAAATAATTAACTATTACCAGCAATACTTTTTTGAAAAAATATTACCAGCAATATAATTTTGAAAGAAAAATATTACCAGAAACAGATTTTTGACAAAAAGAAAATATTACCAGCAATAAAAAATGTTATTGGAATTAAATAACCCATTGAGTTTGATATTCCATAAAACAAAACAAACCAAAACAATCTAAACCAAAGAATACATACTCTATACACACGAATCTATTCTAAAAATGTTGTTGACATTAAATAACCCATTGAGTAAAAACAAATGCCGTAAAACAAAATAAACCAAACCAATCTAAATCAAAGAATACATATTCTATTCATACGAATCTATCCTAAAAATGTCGTCGGAATTAAATAACCCATTGAGGTTGATATGCCGTAAAACAAAATAAACCAAACTAAACACACATTCGTTTTTGAAAATGTCTTTATGAGAGTTTTCATTATGTCGTTGTTTCCGTCTTCCTTTTTTTCTTCATTTCTCGATATTCTCTCCTTCTTTATCTTTAACTTTTCCTTCTTTCTATTCCGTATTTCTTTGTCTCTATTTTTCATTTTTATCCTTTCTTGCTGGCTGCACTCGATTAATTTTCCATATGAACTTTTAAGTCAGTGAATGTTGGGTAATCTCATCACAGATGAAGAAGTGACTTAATGCAACAGAAATATTACTCGACACAAGTATTCCAAGAATACCATGGGCCAAACATTTGAGCCATGAGGAAGTTTTAGAAAAAAATGGAAACAAAAAAATACACTAAGTTTTAACATCAGGTAGCTGCAGTTGAAATTTCTAGGGTTCATAATGAGGAAAGTGGGTTTTGAAAATTTGATACTCACAAGACAGATTGAAGGCAAGAATGGAGCAAAGCAACGCATAACTGAACTTCAGTAAATGGATGATGGAACAGGCAATAGAAACATGATTCTACAGAAGCTTGCTGAGAATAACACGCCCGAAATCTGAGCTTGACGGGGAAGTTTTGAGGAAAATAGAAAGCAAACGGGTGTTTATATTTATGCCTAGAAAGAGACAATTGGTATTTCTAGGACACGTTAAGAGAAAAGTCTACTTGGAGAATATGTAACTCACAGGACATGCCGAATGTCAATCACCGAAAGTAAGAGGGAAACAGGGAAACAGAAAGTTACCCAGCTAACGAGGATATAGGGTGGGAAGGATAGTAATAAGATAAACTACAATGATAGTTGGGGAGAGTCATGACCATCATCTTCCCGAAAGTGCACGGTATACTGAAGAAAACATAAAAAAACATTTAATATTATTGTTATAATTCTATTTGTTTTCGTTTCGTTATTTCTCTTCTATTCCTCATCATTATTTTTGTTATATCAAAATAAACATTTTGCCATTATTTCCTACGTTTAATCATCTTCACAGCCTATGAAGATACTTTGATGGACGTAGGCCTTCCTTAAAATTCGCTATCTTTGCTGTTCATGGGGAGGAAATGGCCATTACCCTACCAGGCTAACCCATGTTAGGAGCGGATCTGACACCCATGGCCGATCATGTCTCCTTTCGATTCATCGTTGTCTTGGCAGAAGAATTCCTGCTATAGGCTGAAGTTACTCTCTGCATTAGACTGGTTGCCAACCAAGGCTATAGAAACGGGTCTGTCCTATTTTTTAGCTCATATCTGAGGGAAGAAGACATGGATCCATACCTTCCCCAAGTGTAATTGCATATAAATAAATGCAACGATCACGACTGGAATTTGAACTCGGCTTTTCTCATTCCGATTTGTTATCAATCAAACCACGCTTACAACACTGTGTATTGCAAGCAGTTCAGTGTACTGACCAGGCTCAACATTTCTTCTGTCCTGAGTATGACGATAAACTACAACTATCTTTGCCATTCATGCGGAGGAATTAAAAACAGTAAAACTTAATTAGAAACAAAGAAAAGAGTGTTGTGTAATATGAGTCCTTTTCTATAGCAATGAATGCTGGATAGTTTCATCACAAATGAAGAAGAGACTTGAGATTAAACAGCGCATGATGAGGACCGATTATGTGAGCAACAACGAAGTTTTAGTGAAACAAAAACGGATCCTATGCACGACATCAAGTACAGAAAGTTTAAATTTCTAGGGCACATAATGAAGAAAGAGGACTTGGAAAATGTGATACTCACACGACAGAGTTAGGGTAAGAGAGACGAAGGAAAACGACACATAACATACCTAGCGAGCTTGAGTAAATGTATGGTGGAACAAATTTTAGGACTATTTTTTCAAGATCTACAAAACGACGGGAAATTGTGGAGAGCCATGATCGCCAACGTCCTGAAAAGACACAGCATAAAGAAGAGTAAGAAATACTGACAGCAAGCTAAGCAGGTTAAACAACGTATAAACTACGTAATAAATTTCTGTTAAACGGTGCCAGAGAAGAAATAAGGTCAGTGCCATGCGTGATACACGATCATGTATCTTTCGATATATGACTGACGAGGAGGGTTTTTCCAGCAGTAGGTTGCCATTTCTTTCTGCGGTAGAACGGTTGCAATCCAAGGCTATAGAAATCGGTCTATCCTGCTATTTACCCATATTGTGGGAAGAAGAAGAGGATTCATAGCTTTCTCAAGGGTAATAGCACGTAAGTGAATGCAATGGATTCGACTGGAATTCGAACTCGTCTCTCCTATTTTTCAATCCGAGCCGCTATCCATTAGTCCACTGTGCCTCTTGTCCTTTGTAGGTCTTAATAAATTTTTGTCTTTTTTTATCTCTTCTAAACCTTGTTTCACCATCCATTTACTCAAACTCATTCTTCTTCTTCTTCTTCTTCTTCTTCTTCTTCTACATGCCATGTCCCTTCAGGACGTTGGTGATCATGGCTCTCCCCAATATCCTGTCCTTTGTAGCTCTTAATAAATCTTTTTGATATCACTCTTAAACGTTGTTTGGCCATCCATTTACTAGGCTCTTTAGGAAGATTATGCATTGTTTTCTTTGCTCCATCTTGACTTCAATATATCCTTTGAGTATCAAATTTTCCAAGCGCTCTTTCCTCATTAAGTACCCTAGAAATGTCAACTATTTCGTGTACGTCTTTTTTGTTTCCATTTTCTTTAAAACTTTGTCGTTGCTCACATGTTCCATCCATTGTATTCCCAGCATCTTTCTGTAGAACGACATTTTTGTTGCTTCATGTCTCTTCTTCATCTTTGAGAAGACTGTGCAGCACTTACCGCCATATAGAAAGAAAGATATCACGTGCTAGGTCAGCACTGTTTTCTTTGATTCTCACGAAGTTTTCTATCTCTTAATACAGTGCTTAGTTTTTAAAACAAGTCTCCGATTTAATACAAAGTCACGATAATGGGTTGCACAGTGAGGATCGAACTCATTTTCATTTTCTTTATGTGCCGTGTTATTTCAGAACGTAGGCGATAATGGATCTCCACAATTTCCTATCTTTTGTAGCACTTAATAAATTTTGTTACCTCCTTGTTCCGTCTTCCATTTAATAGGCCAGGTCGGTGGGCTATGCACTGTTTTTCTATTCTAACTTTTCTAATGTAGTTAGGGTTAGGGTTAGAGTTAGAGTTAGAGTTAGAGTTAGGGTTAGAGTTAGGGTTAGGGTTAGGGTTAGGGTGTAGTTAGTGTGATCATCTCTCTTTGTTTTAATAAAATTGTTCTATGACAATTTCCACGTGAGATTAATGAGACTTCTAAAATTTCTTTCTCGTTCTCCCCAGTGATACGTTAACACCTGAACTTGCCTAATTTATAAGGCTATAAAAAAAACTCTTCACAATAATTCAACAATTCTGCAAACTTCCGTTTCTACAAAGTTAAACAAAATGGTTGACAAATAAAGGAGAAAGGGCGTGCTTATGAAACGCTTAATACTTGGTAATGGAGAAAGTATAAACGATTCAGTGTCTAAATATATTTGCAATGTTAATATTGTCTTGATAAAAAACTATACCGACATACAGAATTAGATATATAGATCACAGGATTAGAATCTCTTTTTTTGTCTCTCTTTCCAGTCAACTTTGATCTTCAAAAATTTAAATACAATGCCAATGCTTATCTTTTGTCTTCATATATGTTCTTTTGTTGTCTTTCTCTTGACTAAAGTCTTCTCACTTTCTTTCACATTCAGTAAACCCTTGCGTCTTAGTGGCATTTTCGCCATCTTCTGTCATCCTAA